CAGCCTCTGAGCTGACCCTGTGCTGGCTAATCTATGGTACTCCTTTCAGAACATGTCCTGTTTGACTTCACTCCCAGAATTATTGCTGCAAACACACAAATTCAGATCCTCGCAAGGCAGTACTGCAGTTAACTTTGTTTATGTTTGGTGGTACAGGTGTTAACCACTGATTAAAATCTTATAATTTGCTAAAGGATTAAAAATCCTAAATCGCAGCTAAGTGCCTAAGGGTTTAACATTAGAAAGTAAAAGTACCTAGAGTTAGGACTCCAATAAAAGCCATGTTAAGATATACCTGCTCTGCTCCTCCCATCTTTTTACTGGGTGGGAGAGTAAATATTAAACTGGAGTTGTTTGTTCTCTGTACCAGTGCAATTCTCAGCTCAATCAGAGCCTTTGGTCTGTTTGCTGTTGTATCCATGCAAACATTCAAGACTCCCTGATTGAACATTTCTCTGCAGTAAATACACAGCAGAAACTCTTTGTTACAGGTAAGTAAGGCACCCAAACCAGCAAGAGACCGAAGTGGCAGTGTAAAGCTGTTAACTGCCCGTGAAGTCTCAAATCCCTTCTTTTTACCTTGTATTTATCTGATCATTTAAATCTTTTGGATTTTGAGTTTAGAACTGAAACCAACGTGTTGTATTCAGTGTGCGCGTACATTATTGTAGTATGTGCTTGTGTGTGTGTGTTCACATGCATGTAAATGTGTGCACACCTGCACATGTATGTAGAGAATTATGCATTTATGCAAATGGATACAATCACAATTATACTTTATAATGTGGAGTCCTGTAGCTCAGTGGTTAGAGCACTCGCTTTGCAAGCGAGATACCTGGGTTCAATTCCAGGCAGGGCGAAACCTTGGACAAGTTTCCTTACTCCACACAGAGCCTAATAATAATCCCTCCAAAACAAAACAATAATAAATTGGTCATTTTCAATCCACGACTGTTTGTGGGACACTGCTGTGTGCAATTGGCTGCCACGTTTCGCCCACAAATATACTGTCAATTCACTTTGCAGCATATTCTGTGAAGCGCTTTGAGACGTCGAGAAGACATGAAAAGTGCTATATCAAATGCAAGGATTATTATTATTATAACATTGTGACTGTGTCCTTTTGTAAGCCTACAACAACAACAACAACAAATTACATTTGTGTCATGCCTTTCACATCAGGGGGACGTCCCTCCACGGTGAGGGTAAGGCTCATGAGATGGAAAGTGCTGACATACTTTCCTGTTGGCAGCTCAGGGCTTGGATGCCGTTGAGGTGCAGTAACAGAGCCCGGCATATGGCAGCCTCACGCCAGGCTCCAGTGATCTCAGTGTTGTAGTCCAGTCATTGCTGATGACCAAACTATAATCACCTGTTTCAATCCAATTTTAACTAACAAACTGACAGCGACTGAGTTTGGTTCACAGAGCTGAGTGGCCCTGTGAGGAAATACACCGTGTGGTGAGCACTAAGCCATTCAGACTGGGAAGATCGCTGCATCATCTCGAGTTTGGTGAACTGGGCAGAAGTGGCAGTGTGAGTGCTACAGTTGGCCTCATGTCCCTGTCTAGGAAGGATTAAAAATTCTCCAGTAAGGGTACCATTGGAGCAACTCTAACCAGCTCAGCCCAACTCTTGACATTTAGCATATGAGGACCTTTGGGTCTTTTGATCCTGCAGGACTTTTACTGAATAATGTAGGCTCCTAGATTGCATTGGATTTCTGGGGAATCTTGATGGGTTTTATGAGGATTTGGATCAAGAATTTTATACTTGTGTGTGGTTTCACTCTTTTTTTCTCTCTCTTTTTCTGTGTCTTATATAACCTAAAGGGAAGTGCCTTCACAGACCTTGAGTGATAACTTCAGAGTCCAAATTGTTATCCAATTTGTTCCGTATTTCTGTCAGCCGCCAGCACAGACACTGCATGCCTTGGAGATGGGGACACTGAAGAAACAAGTCCTTACAAGCCTCATTAAAAATAGAAGGGATCATTTCTTCCTAGTACTTTTGCTGGAGAAATAAATCAATTCTTGTAACTGATCCACTATCCAAAAGACTTATGGTGACTCTCAAAGGCAAGCTGCCCTCCAAAGCAGGAGCGTAGCCAGAGAGAGAGGGAGCACGAGCCCTGCATTATGTATCAGCAAATGGATAGCATGCATCACTTTGACATACGTCATGTCAGAATCAATCAATCTCAGGGAGACAGACTGTCAAAGCGAGCCCAAGTCACTCTGCTGCCAATCAAAGCCGTCGCCATAATCTGAAGTGTGGTAATTTCTGAAAAATGATTCTAAATAGATTTTGGTGCGTTGTGATGTAAAAGGACAACACCTACATGCTAGCAATAGCCAGGAGGTTTGTTTCAGGATAGAGCAAAACCTTAGGCAATTGGTAGGACGTGGAGAGGCAGACTCATCACTGGGGACAGAGATTCCCACCACTCAGCTGCTGTTAACCCTGCAAGCCAAAGCCCTAATGGGTAGGGTAGTCCTAGCTGGTCAAGTAGCACGAAAGCTTGCCAGACAACGATATCAGTAGCAAGCTATGCGGTTTTAACTGGTTAGACTCCAGCAGTTAACCCAACGCACACCCTGGGGACCCCAAGCCATGGCTCTTGCCAACTTGCGCCTAATATTCTCTAGAATCACATAAACAGGATGTGTCTGTCCCTCAAGAGAGAGAATGTGCAATCCATTCCAGACACAGGGATTTCCATGAGTCGGTAGCATACGAATGTGGAACTCTCAGCCTGGCTTGGAAACTCACACACGGCGATGGGATTCCACATGTGTCCGACACCCAGCTGACCAAATAACAGACTAAGAATACCATCATGAAAACTTGGGAAAATTACCTTTTTCAGTTTCTGATAAAGCACACAACACTCTACTTTGTTCCGCATTATATCTCTTTCTAAAACCTAATTATCTCATTCACTCACCAGTGCACTCAGTGGGGTTCCAATCAAGGAAACGATTCATTGGACAGATGAGAACAAAGTGCAGAGCACATAATGACATCTCTGCGGGTATTGGACACCATACTAAATTAGAAACTTACAATCTCGTATTTCTGTAGGTTTATAATTGTGCTGCTGTCATTAGAAGAAGTAATGCTCTTCGACTATGATACTTCGTCTGCATATGTTGATTTCCAGAAAACATGCTAAATCCCTTGTAGAATCTACTCTCCAGCTCCACCATGGCAGTCGGTCAAAACAAATCCTCAGGGTCTAAAAATAAAACGCAGCATGGTTAATAAAAGGTTCTTTTCTTTTCTTAAAGGTGAATTAGGCTGTTACCGAGCTGAAAGTGTGCAAGTCCTGTAGGGTAGTGGTTAGCGTGCTCGCCTTGCAAGTCAGAGGATCTGGGTTTGATTCCCAGGCAAGGCGATCCCTTAGGCAGGTTTCTTTACTGCACAAGCCTCTGTTTGCCTAGCAGTAAGTAGGAACACGGTTGTTACTTAATTGGCAGATCGCCTTCTGGGGTTGGTCACTCAGTCCATGGCTGTGCACAATTGGCTGCCACGTTTTACCCACAAAATACACAGTCAATCCACTTTATATATATTCTGTGAAGCGCTTTGAGACGGCTCAAGGACTTGATAAGGCGCTATATCAAATGCAAGGATTATTATAATTATTCTATAATATGGCTTTGCAACGAACAGTCTGCATGTAAAGAGATAAATGCCCGTGAAAAGTGTTAATAGGATTGGCACGAGGTTAGGCCAGGATTCCTTTTGTAAAGTGACGTTTTTTTAAAAAAAGAAACATTGAGATTTGGCTTCCAATAACCATGGCAACATGAAGAGAGATCGGAAAATGGAAAACTCAATGGATTTGTAAACCCAGCTGAACCCAGTTACTGGAATAAATGATGTAAGTCACGTGAAAAATTTCCAGTCAAGGAAATAGACATGACCAGCTTCGTCAGTGTTCCTCAAACTCCATCACTCACCCGTCCAAAGACTCAATATTATAGTCTTGGTTTTGGAAGTAGAAACTCTTAAAGCATCTGAATGAGGAGTAGCAAATGTGATATTCCCCCCCATCTCCTCTTCACCCATTCCATTCTCTAAACACTAAAAAGTTGAACATTAATAACGTCCATGCAAGTGCCTTGCCAAAGGCAATCTTTTGAAAAAAAAAGATTTTTTTGAAAAAAAGAAAAATCTGCTTTTCGAGCACAAGTGTTTTGTGAAGCTTCATTGAAGAACCAATCGAGCCTCATTAAAGTAGTCAGTGAGCTGCGAGATCCCTGGTTGTCACAATAATATTGGCAAGTGGACGGAGTAAGAGTCTAGATGCAATGCTACATTTGCAGAGGATCTGTTTTTAGTGCATTTCAAGGCTGAAAGCACAGACCTTACGCTTGCTATATGTCCCTGTCACAGGAGAGCCTTGAGTTCCAAATTATAATTGCAGCGTGTAAAGAGCAAGCACAACGTAAGTGTCTCCCCAGAGACCATGTGCAGGCTGGAGAAATCGAGCATTATTATGAGCTGGTGCTGTCCACTAGTGCTCTGCACAGGCATTGTAAACAAAATATAAACCGATGCTCACAAAATACAGTCAATCCAATTAACAATCTATTCTGTGAAGCACTTTGAGACATCTCCACGATGTGATAGGGTGCTATATCAAATACAAGGATCATTATTATTGCTGAGGGACAAGGAGACACTGCTTACCTTCTTTCTCTCTCTCTCTCTCTCTCTCTCTTCCCCCCACCCCCACCCCACCCACCCGTGGAGAATCCAGAACAACAATTTGCTCTACAGCGATATACCGCTCTTTCACGCAGGCCAGCATCTCAGCGCGCTTAACAGTGGCGGAGCCTGACACCGATCTGGGGGAAGGGTAAAGGTGACCATTAGAACGGTCAAAGAGGAAGGTCTTCAGTCGTGATCTAAAAGAGGGGAAGGAGGGGGCAAGGATCTGGGGTGAGATGCAGTAATGTATATAACCTGGACCCTCCTGTGATTTTTTTCAGGTAACGTTTGATTCAGACATTTTCTTCAACGTCCTTTTGCCCCCGATCATATTTTATGCTGGATACAGCCTGAAAAAGGTGAGCAGATTTGCAAAGAGCACAGAGACTTGTGATCAAACCGTCCCTTTATAGAGGCAGGTTTCCTCTCCCACACCCAATGAAACCACCAATTCTCGGCAGAGGTGTGGAATCTGTGCAAAGATTGGGGGGTGGGGATAAGGGGAACCATTCCAACTGACATCTCGGACATTCAACCTGAGAACTGACATCAGCCAAAATAGTTCCACTCTTTTATAAGGAATATTTTTAAAAGGAAAGTGAAAATTGGGGATCAAGCCCCAAGGGCAACCAACCCTATTCCCTCTTCCCCTACCCATTCCTCCACTCGCTCCCTAGGTTAACCTAATGTGGGTTTATTGTGCATTTCCCCCTCGCTCTCTGCGCAACTATCAGTGGCCAAGCCGTCATAACCTCTGGAGCCCCCTCCCTCTACATACCACCTCGCTATCTGTCTTCGAATTGTCTTAAAACCTACTTCTATGGCCATCTCTCTCATCCTACACCCTAGCACGGATCAAGACATTGGGAGGGTGGTGGGTGGGATTCTGGAAAAAGAGGATCAAATGGGGCTGAAGGGTCATCCTGATTCGAACCTGTCTTGTGATATAAACGTGTGCAGTAACTAATTAAGTGTCATTTTCTAATCGTAGATTGTGTGTAATTTTACAGAGGCAGTTCTTTCGTAACCTTGGCTCCATCCTGACCTACGCCTTCATAGGGACTGTTGTCTCCTGCATTGTGATCGGGTGAGTGAATGGCACAGACCCTGACGGTGGGACTTGTCTGTAACACAAAGCTGGGCAGTTGTTATAATGGTGGCTGATAGCGAGACGCTGATTCCAGTGAGAGTGAGGGAGGGGCATGAGGTCAGACTCCTGAGCCACAATCAATTTACTTTACAGTTTATTCTGTGAAGCGCTTTCAGACATCTAGACGACATGATAAGGCATTATAATAATAATTCTTGCATTTGATATAGCGCTTTTCACGTCTTCTAGACGTCCCAAAGCGCTTCACAGAATATACTGTAAGGTGAATTGACTGTATATTTTTGGGCGAACGCAGCAGCCAATTGCGTACAGCAATGTCCCACAAACAGTCGTGGATTGAAAATGACCATTTTATTATTGTTTTGTTTTTTTGGAGGGATTATTATTAGGCGTGTGGAGTAAGGAAACTTGCCCAAGGTTTCGCCCTCTGCCTGGAATTGAACTCAGGTCTCTGACTTGCAAAGCGAGTGCTCTAACCACTGAGCTACAGGACTCCACTATTTATCATTATATATAATGCAAGGATTATTATTCTTGTGATTCTTAGTTCTGCGTCTTGTATCCTTCTCCGTGAGAATAGGGTTGGGGGGGGGGTGTGGGAGGTGTGTAAGACTTCAGGTGCTAATTTCTGGTTTGCAAACCAGCTATCCAGATTACTACAGGCCTCTCCTGGAAATGTTGAGGCCGTGTTGTAGCTTGTTTATCCTGAAACACACGGCCGATCCCGTGACAATACAGCTATCCCCTGTTTCCTTTAGATAAGGCGACGGCAGTACACTTATTGCATGGTTAACAAAGTGGCTCTGAGCAAGACTGGGCTTCATTCTACAGATTGTACAAGCAAAAGCAGTGTGATGTTTGGCTGGGATCAGTGGGGGGATGGGAGTGGAGGATGGGGGCATGCTACAATGTTCCGGAATAGAAGGTTATAGAATAATAATATATAACAATCCTTACATTGGATATAGCGCCTTATTACGTCTTCGAGACGTCTCAAAGCACTTTACAGAATGTACTGTAAAGCCAATTGACTTATATTTTGTGGGAAAAACGCGACAGTATCCCACAAACAGTCGTGGCTTGAGTGAGTAAATTATTATTTTTTTAAATCTATTTATTGTTTTGAGGAGATAATTCCCCCTGGAAAACCAGTGCTGTTCCTGCTATCTTGCAAGGCTCCCCTCTTTCGCACACAACACCTCCATAATCCACAGTATCCACGGGACCTGGGCAGAGAAATACTTCAGTCACATTCACTCCTGAAAATAATTTCCCTCCGGAATCTCCCTTTTGCCGTTTTCCCTCAGTCGCTCATGAGATATTTTTCGTGAGCGTTTCCAGTGTTTTTTTTCCTTTTTAAATTTCTGCTGTTGATTGGCTCAGATCAGCAGAGATGCTCCCAGTGGCCAGCCATTTGACTGTGTGGTTGAGCATTACGTAACTCAGACTTCCTTCCTCACTTCTATTTGACATTTCGCTTCCTTCCATGTTGCGAAGTCGTCGCAAAGTGTGTGTTTTGTAGGCAAATACAACAGCCAATTTGCGCATAACCACGTCCCACAAACAGCCGTGACCAATTTTATCTGGGGGATTGTCGGCCAGGATACCCTGGGAGAGAAATCCCCTTGTCTTTTCAAATAGTGCTGCGGGATCTTTAACATCCACCTGAATAGGCAAACGGGACCTCCATGTATAATGACACTCACTTCATTTCTGATCAAATGTATTTTCTGAAGAGCCTTGTGCGTTTATTCAATGTGGAGGCTGCCATGTTAACGCAAGCTATGTTTTGTCTTGAGATCGGAGGCATGAGTGGGGTTTGGTAGCAGCGAGGCTGAGATTAAAGCGTAAGAAAGCAATGTTCCAGAGTTGGAAGTGGACCAGCCCTGGGGTTTGAAGGACACCCAAGGGTCAAGTTGAATGCCAGGATTAGATATTGACTGATTAACTGAGGGAGGAAGGTTAATAGAGACGGAGTCAGAGGTGCAAAGGTGTTGCAGAGTTTAATTGCATTTCTCTTGCTCCATCGTAGGCTTGAGACAAGCCAGCTCAGCTTTCTCGCTCCAAGTTTCCTTTGATTTTTGTATTTTTGTCAATACAAATCGTAACACTCGCCATCACTTTCACTGTTCCTCTGCACTGCAGACACAGAGAGTAAGGCTGTCATCTAGTGGTCTCTTAGGATGTTGCATTGTGCTGTGGTTACAGACTCAATTCTTCCTCACATTAAGGCAGTAATCTGTGACAATCTTCTGAATATTTCGCTGACTCTCACATACTTGTTATCTCTAAATTTTTCACTTTGATTTTTTTTTCCTTGCTAGCATTTTTTTTTGCTCTGTGACTTTATCTTGCTCTTTCTCTGCCATTTTCTCTTTCTCTCTCTCTCTGCTCTCTCTTTCTCTATCCTGCGCTGATTTTCTCTCTATATCCCCCCGAGCAAAGGAAAGGCAGCCAGGAGCTCATTACTGCCTGTTCCAGAATGTTTGTGTATGTATAGTTATATAGATAGGGCGAGACTCTAATGTCCCCTACGGTTAAATAGTCTCCTGACAGTCAATAGTCAATTCAAGTCTCACACTTGAAAACAGTGAATCATTGTCTTCAGGACAGAATTGAGGTGAATCCTGGTTTGATTGGCCGACCTGTAAAAGCAATGAACCGTGTTGTTAGACATTTTGAGGCAAACAAAGGCTTTGTGAGTCCTATTCCAGCTCAGCGTTCTGTTGAGATTAGGCGTCAGCCTGGTGCTGTGATAGCACTCTTGCCTCTGAGTTAGAAAGCTATGGCTGCAAGCCCTATGTTGGGACTTTGAACTCGCATGGTCTCAGAGGACACTCCATTGCAGTGTTGCAGGAGCACTGCCTTGTTGGAGGTGCTGTGTTTATGATGAGAAGTTAAACCAAGTTCCTGTCTGCCTGCTCAGGTGGATGTTAAAGATCCCCTGGCACTATTCGAAAAGAGAAGAGAGTTTCTCTCTCCCAGCATCCTGGCCAACAATTCCCCAAATAAAATTGACCACTCACTTCATGGCTGTTTGTGGGACATTACTATGACAATCACTTACAGAGTACACAATGACTACACTTTATGGAAACTGTGAAGCACTTTGAGACTTCTCATTGTATTATACTTATCTCAAACCTGTTTATATCAACATCCCGGGTATGTTGACAAAATATTTAAGTCCTGTGCCCTTCCGCTATAGGAACACATTACATTTTCTATGTATGTCAGTTGGTAGCTCTTTCAAAGAGCCAGCACAGGCACCTTGAGCCTAATGGCCTCCTTTTGTGTTGTAAGATTCTATATCGACGAATAGATCTGCTCGGTCCCCTCGATGTTGACATAACCAGGTCAATAGTCAATATCACACTCATATTAACGCATTGAATCGCGGGAAAACTAGTTTTGGCATGTACACTTACCGGCTGCATTGAATTACGCGTACAGAGTGTAGATTACTGATTAACTCGTATTTTATACGATTTGTACAGTTTGCCTTCAACTCTAACTTGGCGTAAGTCATGTTAAATGTCACGATCCCGACTATTACGACCTAGGTGAGCTTTACTGTAGTTTTCACGAAGCCTCGGAATGGTTAGCACGGTGTATATTGATGTTTTGCCCATTAGGTGGCACCAGAGAACTACAAACTGTGGTTCCAGCAGCTAATATATATTTGAGCTTCGTAAAAAATAGTTACTTTCTGCTGGAGGTTGATGTTTTGTTCACCAGCTATTTAGACAAGCCATTTCAGAATAGTCTTATTAACATGTTTGTTTTACATTGCCACTTACACAGCATTCAATTTGTAGATCGATATATTTTCTGTTCTTCTCTAGTTCTTCTTATTCTGATTATTATAAGATCCATCAGAAATGTCTCTCATATTCCCATCATTCGAATCTTCTACTGGGGGGGATTGGGGGGAACATGTTTCCATCTGCGATATTCCATGACTGTGCAGAATTGGCTAATGAGTTTTGCCCACAAATACACAGTATATTCTGTGAACCGCTTTGAGCTGTCTCAATGATGTGATAAAACGCTAAATCAAAGGCAAGGATTATTACATTATTCACCATTGAGTGTTGGCAGAGCATCCAACTGTGAGGCACACCACAGCCAAACCCTGATCCTGCCCTCAACAGCTTGAGCCCAGCAGAGGTTGGTTGTGAAGATCCTGGGGCTCTCTATTCATAATTCCTATACAAACACCACCGCACTGGAGCTCAGCCACTCCATCGAAAGAAAGACTGGATCCTTGGTGTGTGCTGCTGTCCCACTAAACCCCAACCACATCCGCTGACTCATTGCCGAGCCAGGACGGAAACCAATTGTTAAGAATAACAAATTGCATTTTATAGCGCCTTTCACGTCAGGACAGTCCAGGGTTTCACCTGAGCTGTGGGCTGAAGTCGAGGGGTGGAGGGTAGGTGGTCAGGGTAGGAAGATGACCAAAGATACTGTCAATGAGGAAGATCTTGGGTGTGTGTGTGCTGAGACCAGTGCCCTGACCTCACTGTGTGTTTCGTGCAGTGGCATTATGTACGGCTTTGTGACGGCGATGATGAAGCTGGGCCAGCTGGAGGAGGATGATTTCTATTTCACCGACTGCCTGTTCTTTGGGGCCATGATCTCAGCCACCGACCCAGGCAAGTGCTGAGGTGGGGGCTGGGTTAACAGCCAAGGGATGTGTGTGTGTGTGTGTGTGTACATGTAAACACATGTGTATGTATATGTATGCACATGTGTGCATGGGGCATCCATGCACATATGTGGATGTGAGTATGTGTGTGTGACAGTGTTGTGTGTGTCAGTGAGAGAGTGTGTGTGTGTGTCCGTATATGTGTCTCCTCACTTGCTGATTGCTGCTGCCGTCTCCGATTTCCACCCCCCACCGCCTCCCCCCACCCCAGTCCCTGAGCCTCGCTCGTTGCCACGGGCTGACAGTCAGTCTAGGCCCTGATACAAGGGGAGGCGAGAGCCTGGCAGTGAGAGCAGCACAGAGACTGGGAGCCGGGCTGTAGCCACCCCTCTGGGCGGGTGTGAGTGGGTTCAGGTGAAGCTGCCTGGAGGACGGCGGGGGGCGCGGAGAGGTGGGAGTTGCTGTCGCTGCGGGAAGTGGTTTGGTGGCTGGAAGCCGGGCTTGCTCTCTGTGTCTAACAGCAGCTGTCTCTGAGGTGTACAGGAATCTGCACACGCCAGCTAATGGCCCCAATAGGGCAGGGCTCTTAACATATTCCCAGTGTTAAGTGCTCCTGGCTGCTCGCTGCCTGTCTACACCTTCCCAGAGATGCTGCCTGTCGCGGTGGGGAACGTTGACTAGCCACTGCACCAAAACACCGCTCCAGCCCTTGCAAGAGTTACAGCGAGAGACCCCGGCTTCAGCCCAGCGAGTCGGTGCTGGTGTTTATCCTCCGCCCGCCTCAAGGTCAACACCTGGAGGTAAAAGGGTCAACAGCAGGCTGACGGGGTGGGTGGGGGCTGTGGTTGAGGCCACCCAAATCTCTCCTGATCTCAATCTGCGGGAACCGTCATCACAAAAAATTTCAGCTCAAGTTGAGGAAGATTCTGAAATTTGGTCTTAATTTGTAAAAAAAACCTGTCTCTAAAAAGGGATATGACTTCCAAACTTAAGACTGAGTGGGTGATGTAGTTTAACCCCCTTTCTGCCCGAGCACATAACAGTCTCACAGGCTAAGAGCAAGAGGAGAGAACGTGGATGCGGTTGTTGTGGGGACGGCTGGGGGGGTGGGGGAGGGAGGGATTGGTTACCATGCGGGGGCTGAATAAAGTGACGCTGGCCTTTAACCCTGGCTCACTGTCCACTTTCTCCTTGCAGTGACCATCCTGGCCATCTTCCATGAGCTGTACGTGGACACCAGCCTTTACACCCTGCTGTTCGGGGAGAGCGTTCTGAACGATGCCGTGGCCATAGTCCTGACTTAGTAAGTGTCACCATGACCGAGTGTCTCTTCCTCTTAACAACCAAGCTTCTCAGGCAGTCCGATAGACATGGGGAGGTTATGCCATTGGCCGCGAAGTGACCTCAGCCCGGCTCAGCCGGTCATACTCTTGCCTCCTGGTCAGAAAGTCGCGGGTTCAAACCTCCATGTCAGGATCTTAGCTGACAATCCAGTGCTGTGCTACAGCCCCGTCATTCAGATGAGGCATTAAGGTGTCGGAATGTTCAGGTGGATGTTGAACAACAACAACAACAACAAGATTCCATTTATAAAGCGCCTTTCACGTCAGGAGGACGTCCCAAGGCGCTGCACAGTTGGGTCATGACCCGAGCAGGGGGGAAATGGTCAGGGTGAGGGAAGGGAGGGAGCAAGGAGGGGGAAGAGAGTCGAGAGGGGAGCTGAAGGCACAGTCAAAGAGAAAGGTTTTGAGACCGGCCTTGAAGGAGGAAAGGGAGGAAGCAAGGCGAAGGCACTGGGGGATGGAGTTCCAGAGCCTGGGGGCTGAGAGGCTGAAGGCCCGACCACCGATGGTAGGGCGGTTGGGGCGGGGGACGTGGAGCAGACCAGAGCCAGAGGAACGGAGGGTACGGGCAGGTAGGTAGGGGGATAGTAGGTTGGAGAGGTAGGAGGGAGCGAGGCCGTGAATGGCCTTGTAGGTGAGGATGAGGATCTTGAAATCAATCCTCTGGGGGATGGGGAGCCAGTGGAGGCGAGCGAGGGTGGGAGTGATGTGGTCGCGAAGCCTGGTGCGGGACAGTACACGAGCTGCAGAGTTCTGAATGGCCTGCAGCTTGTGGAGGGAGGTGGCGGGAAGGCCGGCGAGGAGAGAGTTCCCATAGTCCAGCCTTGAGGTGACAAAGGCGTGGACCAGGGTTTCAGCAGCGTGAGGGGTGAGGTAGTGCCGTAGTCTGGCGATGTTCCGAAGGTGATGGAAGGCGGTGCCAGTTGTAGTGCGGATGTGAGGGAGAAAGGACAGCTCAGGGTCGAACAAAACGCCGAGGTTCCTGACTGGCTTTGAGAGGTGGAGAGTGCAGCCTTGGATGCTGATGGTGTCAACGCCTGAGGAGCGGAGACGCTGACGTGAGCCAATCAGGAGGGCCTCAGTTTTTCGCACGTTGAGCTGAAGAAAGTTGTCTCTCGTCCAGGACTCGATGTCGGACAGGCAGGCAGTCAGGACATCGGTGGTCGTGGAGTTGAGAGTAGAGGAGGAAAGGTAGAGTTGGGTGTCATCCGCATACATGTGGAAGTTAACTCCATGTCTGCGGATGATGTCACCAAGGGGGAGCATATAGAGGGTGAAGAGGAGGGGACCGAGGACAGAGCCCTGAGGGACACCACATGAGACAGTACGGGGGGTGGAGGAGAAGCCATTCGTTGAGACAAAGTGAAGACGGTGAGAAAGGTACGACCTAAACCATTCAAGGACAGTGCCTTGAAGGTTTAGGTGGGAGGACAAGCGGTGGAGTAGGATAGCGTGGTCGACCGTATCGAATGCTGCCGATTGGTCGAGGAGGACGAGGAGACAGAGGGAGCCCTGGTCACAGATGGTCAGGATATCATTGGTGACCTTGACCAGGGCAGTTTCTGTGCTATGGGCAGCACGGAAACCTGACTGAAGGGGTTCAAAAAGAGAATGGGTGGAAAGGAAAGAGCGCAGTTGGAAGGCGACAACTCTTTCCAAGACCTTAATAATAATAATAATAATAATAATCCTTGCATTTGATATAGCGCTTTTCACGTCGGGAGGACGTCCCAAAGCGCTTCACAGAACACACTGTAAAGTGAACTGACTGTATATTTGTGGGCGAACGCGGCAGCCAATTGCGCACAGCAATGTCCCACAAACAGTCGTAGATTGAAAATGACCAATTTATTATTGTTTTTTTTTTAGTTTTGGAGGGATTATTATTAGGCTCTGTGTGGAGTAAGGAAACTTGCCCAAGGTTTCGCCCTCTGCCTGGAATTGAACTCAGGTCTCTCACTTGCAAAGCGAGTGCTCTAACCACTGAGCTACAGGACTCCACCTTGGAGAGAAAGGGGAGGTTGGAGATGGGCCGGTAGCTTGAAGATCCGATCTTGGAAAAGAGAAGGGAGTTTCTCCTCGTTCCCTGACCAGCAATCTTCCAGTTGTCAGTTCACCTTGACAGTAATTACTGTAAAGCTCATTTCAATGTGATGAGGTGCTATTATTCTTGTCAGGCTACTCTTTGAGTGAATGCAGTGACCTGTCCTCCTGATGCCATCCTTCCTGATGCCTTGCAACAGCTGTCGAGCTCACTCTGTATAAAGTGAGAATCTCCGGAACTCCCTGCCGCAATCTCCTCCGTCTTGCCCCCTCTTTGCTCATCTTCCGACCGTGCCTTCGGTCACCTCCCCTCCCTTTGCAGATGGCCGCCAAACCAACTGCTGTTAAGTGCTTTGTTGATTTTGTTGTCGTAAAAAAAATACTTTCCCTTCACAATCCCGTACCTGTGCCTTTCTGTTCCGCTGCCTTGACAGAGCTGAAAGTGTTATCCTGGGTTTGCTCTGCGCTAAGCACTCTGAGACGCTACCCTGCGCGAGGAGCGCTGTATAAATGCATGTTGCTGTTGTTGTTTTCTTCCTCCGTCTGACAGTCGTGGCTGTTCACTTCCAACAGTCCCCATTCCTGTCACAGGAATGCTCGGTTCCTATCGCATAGCCATTCATTGCAGCAGGTGGCAGTGTGTTCCATAAGTTACAGACAGGTCGGAGGTGAAAATGGCCATTGTTTTATTAATAATAATCTGTGCATTTGACGTAAATCCTTATCACGTCTTTGAAATGTGTTGAAGTGCTTCGCAGGATTTGCAGTAGAGTCTAGTGACAGTAGTTGCAGGCATTTGGTTCCAAATACTTGCCAGATACATGATTTGCAGACACAGGGACCCCACACACAGCTGTGAAACCATTGGTCACCAACGACTACAATTTACGTTTATACAACAACAACAAATTGCATTTATGTAGCACCTTTCATGGAGGGAGCACGTCTCAAAGAGCTTCACGCAGTTGACTGAGAGGTTGAGCTGTGGGGAGTTTTGTTCTCTCTCTGGGGGATTGTTGGCCTGGACACAAGGAGAAGCTCCCTTTATTTTTCGAGTAGTGCCACGTGATCTTTACTGTCCACCAGAACACACAGGCTGGACCTCGGGTTAATGTCTCGTCTGATGGACGTCGCCTCCAACAATGCAGCTGTCGTGCAGAGCTGCACTGGAGTGTCAGCCTAGACTGTGAGTTTAAAGTCTCGACGTGGGTCTTGAACCCACAACCTGCTGACTCTGAAGCGAGAGGCCAGGCGGACACCTGGCTCAGATTTGACATTGCCATTTGACTAGGATTTATTCTGTCAATTTTATAAAATAATGAGCTCATAAAGTGTTACGCTCATTTTCATGTACACTTTTACTACCCACTCCAAAGCAAATTAGCACGATGTAAAAATTGATGAGTCATTGTTTTTAATGAATGGGATGTCTCTGTCCATAAAGACTCTCATCGAGAAACCAAGTGTATTTCCATGTATTTCCTGCTCATTCCCCATCGCGGGATACATTGTCTGGTTGTACATTGTGAAGAGGAAAGTATTTTTTTTACGACAACAAAATCAACTTGTGTTTACGTAGCGCCCTACACGCGGGTAACATCTTCGAGCACTTAACAGCAGTTTGTACTCTGCTCTAATCCCAATTTCTTGCTCTTTTCCCATCGTGTCTGTGCTGGTGCTCGCTCCCCCACAGAAACTCTCTACTCCCATTTCTCTGCTCATTTCCTATACACTTTAATACTATCTCCTCACAATTATTTATTCATTCTCTTTGACGTGCTGTTACTGACTCAGTTTCAACAGCTATTTGTGACGGGACATTGCACATTGTAACAATCCTCGACTGCGCCAACGATATGCTTGTCGGTCTCCCCAGCATTTCCCAGAACCCAGGTATTACCCCACTCATTCACCCTTACCAACCCGGCCATTCCCTTGGCTTGGTTTACACTACCTTCTCCACATCCCCTGCTTTATTTGCCTCGTCATCATCATCTTTCAGATACTTGGTGCCCTCTCTCTGGAACTCCATTCCCAGCTCTCTCTGACTTGCTCCCTTTTTGAAAGTACACAAAAAAAAGTCTCTCTTTCAGTCCTCCTTTCCCTCCTCACCGCCCTCAACTCCCACACTTAGCTCTGGTATCCAGTCAGAATTATCAAGCCCTTTGGGACATCCAACTGATGTGAAAGGCATTATGTATGTGTGAATTCTGTTGTATTTCTTCTGACCTCCCAAATCTGGTATTCCTGGTGCTAACGTTCCTTTTTTCCTGTTGTCAAGCTCCATATCTATCTACAGTCCGAAGGAAAATCCACATATGTTCGACGTTGCAGCTTTCTTCAAATCGGTTGGGAATTTCCTCTGGATTTTCACCGGCTCTTTTGCCATGGGCTCCCTATATGGTGTGGTCACAGCTTTGATATCCTTCCAGTGGGCAGGGTAAGATTTACGTCCGGGAGCAGCCTCAATGGTACATTGATAGCTCTGTAACTCACAGACCAGGAGCTCGCTCCTGAACCAGAACGATATCAGGGCTAAAGGGTTAAATTATGAGGACAGGTTGCATAAACTCGACTTGTATTTCCTTGACTTTTGAAGGTTGAGGGCTGATCTGATTGAGGTGTTTAAAATGATAAAGGGATTCAATAGGGTAGATGCCGAGAAACTAATCCAGAACAAGGGGGCATCATCTTAAAATTAGAGCTAAACGATTTAGTAGTGAAATTAGGAGGCAGTTTTTCACCCAAATGGTAGGGTAAATCTGGAACTCTCTCCCCCAAAAGGCTGGATCCATTCCAGCCATGGATAAATTTTCAATGGATATATATTTGTTAGGTTAGGGTATCAAGGGATATGGAGCAAAGGCGGGTAATTGGAGTTGAGGAACAGATCAGCCATGATCTTATAGAATGGCGGAACGGGCTCAAGGGGTTGAATGGCCTACTTCTGTTCCTATGTTCAAATCCAGGTCTGCACTGAGTATGGTTGCTTTGGTTGCAAATCCTTGACTGTCCAATGCCTTGGGACGTCCACCCAAAGTGAAAGGTATTATACAAATGTAATTCGTTGTTGTGTGTGTGGGGCAGCCGGGTGGAAAGAGGTCAGGCTCGGCTGTGACACCTCTACGGTCGAGGGATCTGCCGACACTCACTGCCAAGGCTCAGACATGAATATTGGCCATGCGAGGCAGGCAACCAGTATCTGTGGAACCCCACCTCAGTGAGAAGTCAGACCAGCAGGAGAGGTGTGTGCGTGTGCCAGCGGGGAGAGAATGGGAAAGAAATAATTGGACACACTACATTGTTTTTAAAATTGCATTTACAAGTCAGGCAATGAACCAATGCATCAAAAACATCAATGAGCTCAATCATGCTGGAAATCAGTTTTCAAAATGCTGAAATATTATTAACAATAATCATCATACTTGCATTTGATGGAGCACCTTTCATGTTAGGAAGACGTCTCACAGTGCTTCACCACAAAGTGTATTTATGTGATTATGATGTAGAAGAAGGACTGTGTATTTTTGTTGTGTGACTCAGTGGTAGCACTCTCGCCTCTGAGAGTTGTGGGTTCAAGCCCCACATTGGGACTTGCAATCATATAGTCTTAATCTGATACTCCCAGTGCAGTGCTGGGGGGCGGTTGTTGAATTGACAGAGGTACCATACTTTGGAACTAGACGTTAAACAGATGGAAGTTAAAGATTCCATTATTTGAAAAGACAAGGGAGTTTCTCCCGGTATCCTGGCCAATAATCCCCCAAATAAAATTGGTCATTCACTCAGTCCATGGCTGATTGGGACACTGCTGTGTGCAACTGGCTGCCATATTTTAAACCACAAAAATATACAGTGAATCCACTTTACAGTAATTCCCGTGAAGCACTTTGAGACAACTCAACAACGTGATAAGACGCTATATCAAAAGCAAGGATTATTATTGTAGGATAAACAGTGGATGGATGATGATTTTTGTGAGTAAGTGACTCATTAAGGAGGATGGTAAAGTGGGATCAGGGGGAAAGCTGAGAGCCGGTTGGAAACGTTTTTTCACATGGAGCATTTCCTTTTCCCTTAACTCTGCCATTTCCTCACCTGACAAAGTTTACCAAGCTCTGTGAGTTTCCCATGCTAGAGACTGGGATTTTCTTCCTGCTGTCGTGGAGTGCATTTCTCTCAGCCGAGGCCAGTGGCCTAACAGGTGAGTGAGGAAAATGGGGGGGTTGGCACAGGATGGGGGGTGCTTTCAGAGGGAGGGGGCACAGCTTCGCCTTCTGGGTGTTTGCAGGACAAATGTCCCCCTAGTTCAACTGGTAACCTCACTTCTAGTTCAAGCCCTATGCATTGTTTGAGATTCCATCTTTCGATTGACACATCAATCCGAGGTCCCATCTAGGCTAATTCAGGTGGACGTTAAAGATCCCATGGCACTAATTTAAAAAGACAAGGGAGTTTCTCCCTCCCGGTGTCTTGGCCAACAATCCCCCAGATAAAATTAGTCCCTCGCTCTAAGGCTGTTTGTCAGTCATTGCTGTGTGCAAATTGACTGCTGAATTTACCAACAGAAAAAAAACACTGTGACTGTACTAGTAAATCCCCTGAAGTAGCTTGAGACATCTTATCGACATGAAAGGTGCAAATGTATTCAGTCACCCCTCCCCACCCCCTCCCGAGCTCAGCATCAAGCTCCACCATTGTTAAGTGCTCCGAGACACTGCCCTGCATAAAGGGCGTAATATAAATGTGGGTTGTTGTTTGTTGGAAGTGTTATCGTAAAAAGGATGATGTGTTGAAATAACTGTGCATGTGAGATATATACTGCTTTAGACGCTGTATAAAACACAAATACTATTATTTGCTATTTAATGAATAGAAAAGATACAAGTATTTAAAGACATTATAGTAAATATGAAAAAAAATTGCAAAGGGCCATTGCATTTGCCTGAAAAAACAGTCACTACACTTGATTCCGCGAAGCCCTTTGAGACGTTTCGACGTGTTGAGGCTCTGTATCAACCGCAACTTAGTTTGTGACTAACACTGCTCTCAAGTAAGAAAATGAACCTGCCCAGTGTTGGCTCCTGTGTGTGTACAGATCTTGTCACAGTAGCTGAACAGCTTCTCCCGCCCCCTGAGGCCTCTATCCTCAGATTCTGTTCTTCACTGTCTATATGCTCCTACATATAGACATGTTCTGCAACATCATCTGCAGAAATGGGGTTCACTTCCCATCTGCCTGTTCATCCACTATTCAAAAGGAGAAGGGAGTTTCTCATGGTGTCCTGGCTGACAAGCCCCCAGAAAATCTCCCACCTCATGGCTCTTAATGGGACATTGCCTGGTGCAAATTGGCTGCCGTGTTTGCCTACATGTACACTTTACACTGAATCCTTTGAAGCACTTTGAGATGGCTTCCTGCTCTTGAGGGAACAAACTCACGGGCTGTAAATTTCTATGTTTCTATAGATGTAATAATAATAATCCTTGCATTTGATATAGGATCTTATCACATTGTGATATAGTGCCTTATCACATCGTTGAGGCATCTCAAAGCACTTCACAAATATATTGTAGAGTGAATTGACTGTGTATTTTGTGGACGAAACGCAGCAGCCAATTACATACAGCAGTGTCCCACAAACAAGTGGATTGTGTGACCAAATAATTATTTTTTTTGGAGGAATTATTACCCTAGAAAACAATCCGCCAATCGACTAACAACCGAGTTCCTACTTACTGCTAGGCAAACAGACGCTTGAGGAGTAAGGAAACTTGCCTAAGGTTTCTCCCTGCCCAGGAATCAAACCCAGGTCCCCTCACTTGCGATACGAGCTCGCTAACCACTCCATAGTCTAATTTGGTGTTGGTTACACAGCAAATATCCTGTTCCATACCGTTTACACTCCAGCATACACATCGCCCTGGGGCCAACAAACCAGGCAACCGTTTGCAAACGTCTGCCAGCAAGTGTTCCACGTTCCTGCTGCAGCCTGAGCAAAGCATTAATTAAAGGTTCCTGAATTCAAATCATTTGAATATGAATAATTGAATGGTCTGGTTGATGAATAGTAATGGCCAGCAGATGGTCGGGAGGCTGTCTTGTAGCATTATTCAATTTTCTGGAAGTTTAAAAAGGGATTTCAAATTAACAGCAGCTGAGAGAGATGATGGAAGCTGTGAGTCCAAGTGTGCAAAGCTGTAGGTACGTCATGTATTGAGGTGTACATGATTCAATCTAAATGTCACTCGATATCAATATAACAGCGTTGGACAAGGGATTCACAGAACAAAACAGCCCAGTTGGCCCATCAGGGGTCTGCGCTTGTGTTTTTCTCCACATGAGTCACCCAGTCTAATCCCACTCACCCTTCTTGCTGCCCCCCCCCCACTCCTCCCTAATCTTTACTAAATGAAAGTGTTGCAATCAGAAGGTGGTTCCATTCACCAGCTCCTCTTCCTCCCTCCTGCTCAATAATGCGAAACTAATTAAAAGAACCTCAGTGGAATAATATTCTGATTGCAATCCTACTCCTGAAAGAGAACAACCCAAATTAAATCCATTATAAAAGTTTCAATAAAGACACAAATGTCAAATTTGCAACTCCGCTTAATACGTTTGTCTTTCAGGTGCAAGACAAGCTAGAAATCTAGGAAATTAGGGGATGGGAAACACGTCACTGTGATACAACAGTGATTGTTAAATCTTCATTATTGTAGCATCTGCCTTGACCAGGCAATCGGCCATCATGCGAAGCCCATTTTTCTGCTCATTTAACATCAATCTTCAGTGCATCCTGTACATTAACCATGTGAGCCACTGGATTTCTATCACACCCTTTCTCAGACCTGAAATGCTTTCTGCCACAGAGTACCAGAGTAAATCGACTACCATAAGCAATAATAATAACAATCCTTGCATTTGTTATAGCAGCTTTTCACATCAGAAGGATGTCTCAAAGTGCTTCATAGGTTGGACTGTAAAGTCTGGTAATTATGTATTTGATAGGCAAGCGAGGCAGCCCATTTGTACACAGCGAAGTGAATGCCAATTTTATCTGGGGGATTGTTGGATAGGACACTGGGAGAGAGAAACTCTCCTCTTTTTCTGAATAGTGCCAGGGGATCTTTAACATCCACCTGAACAGGCAGATGGGATCTTGGTTTAACCTCTCAAAGAAATGATGGCTCTTTGACAGTAGCTGAATATTTCAGAGAAACTCGGGAGCACCGTCATTTATCATCTATGCTTTCATCACTTCCCACCTCGATTATTCCATTGCCCACCTCACAGGTTTCCCCAGCTCCACTATCCCAAAAATTAAATTAATTCACAACTCTGCCGTCCGTATTCTCCCCCGCACCAAACTCCATACCATATTACAGAACGGATCGATTTCAAGATCTTCACCCTCATCTGCAAATCATTTCATGTCCTGGCACCTCGCTACCTTTCCAACCTGCTTATTCCCCAAACCTCCTTACTTTCCATTCCACTTCCCACTGCCTCCTCTCAGCTGGCTCCGGCCTCCTTCTTGCCCCTTGTCCCCTCCACTCCACCATAAGTAACCGTGCTTTCGGCCACAACGTCCCAAAATTCTGGAACACTCTCCCTCAATCCCCCCCACCTTGCCCCCTCCTTCCCCATTTTCAGTTCACACCTGGAGACCTTCCTCTTCAACCTTGCTTATGGTCACCTCCCCCGGCTCAGCGTCAGACTCCACCACTGTTAAGCGATCCAAGGTGCTACCCTGCGTGAAGGGTATTGTGTAAATGCAAGTTGTTGTTGAGCAATGCATAGGGCATTGCGGCATTGTGGGATATCCTTCTCGGTGTTGAGGCATCAGCTTGTTTAATTAGTTGATATTAGTTCTAGCTGATATCACCGGTAGAATGATAGAGCAAAAGTACTTTAGAACAGTGATAATGCTGAGGACATTGAGTTAAATTTATGAACTGTGTTCATATAGCAGCGTGGGCGTTTAATGCCACTTGAGCCTCTCATTGAAATTGCTGGCGTTAAAGACCTCTTCAAAGGCTTTTTTCTCACCACTTTTCTCCCGCCTACTCTCCTCCTCCTCCTCTCCTGAAGGTGCTTCACTCCAGTGCTGGAATATGGGACCAGAGGCTCCCTCCGTCACCTCGCCGATGTTCACAAAGCCTTGAGATTCAATGCCCTCCCGAGGGGAAGGAGTGGTAGAATAATCCGATGTTAACCTCATTTGAAGTCCGTGACCTTCAAAAAAGGATAGCAATCAGGGGGCAGGCAGAGCTCTAGGAGCATTCCCCTCTCTAATCTAGGGGACTGAGGCCAATTGTAGTGTCACAGTGACACTGTGTGTGAGGTCAGCCAACATAATATAGGGCAGGGATTGAATTGCGATCTTCTGAACAGTGATCTTACAGTCACACCCCACACCCTCCCCTCTCCTGTTACTGTTTGCTATTCTCCCATTTGCTGTTGATAAATTAGGGAAGAATCCTTTTATCTGACAGCATATTATCATGCCGTTGAAATGTCTCAAAGCGGTTCACTGTAAAGTAGGTGTTTATTGGCACACACGGAAGGCAATTCTTGCACAACAATGTCCCCGCAAACAGCCATGAGGGACATGATCAATTTTATCTGGGGGATTGTTAGCCAGAACAGTAGAAACGCCCAATTCATTTTCAATAGTGCCATTTTTAACGTCCTCTTGCAAAGGGCTGACAAGACCTCGGATTAACGTCTCATCTGAGGGTCAACCCTTCCGACAATGCAGGGCTCCTCATCACCACACTAGAGTGTCACCCTAGACTGTGAGTTCAAAGTCCCAAAGTGGAGTTTGAACCCACCACCTTCTGACTCGGAGGTGAGAGTGCTACCAACTGAGCCAGTGCTGACATAAACAGTATTCATTCAGAAAGCAGCGATCATGGATGGAAATAATCAAAAGTTGCACTTGCAAAGTAACCAAGTTTGAATTGGGATTCAGAACATTAAGAATCATCTCTAAAGTCTTAGAGTTGACATTCTCTTTCACTAAAGGGAAACCCAGTGACATTAACCCTGAGAAGTAATGCAGAACGCAATTGAGATCAGCATTTATTTCACTGCCACAGTCCATAGTAATAATACTTTAATTTGATTTAGCTCCTTATCACATCATTGAGATGTCTCGAAGTGCTTCACCTTCACAGAATATACAGTAAAGTGAATTGACTGTGTATTTTGGTGGGCAAAATGAGTGGAAAGTGTACAGAAATAGTTAACACATGAAGACCAGGGTTATGATGATAATCAGCTGAATTGACCAGACATCACAGCATCACAGACAGGGAATGCAATGACAGAATTTGTAGAGTGCATTAAATTAAAAAAATGTTCTCTTCCTGTGTAGGAATTGTCGCTGTTCTCTTCTGTGGAATCACTCAAGCCCATTACACATACAACAACCTCTCAGATGAAGCTAAGATAAGGACGAAGCAGGTAGGAATTATGCACAAGTTATACTCGTCTGTATGTCTGAATCAAATAAAATGGTTTCCGGACAGATTAATGGACTTAGGCTACAGGAGTTGTATGTGGGGGTTATATAACAATAATAATAGTAATCCTTGCATTTGATATAGCGCTTTTCACGTCTTCTCGACGTCTCAAAGCGCTTCACAGAATAGACTGTAAAGTGAATTGATCGTATACGTAGAACTGTAAAAGAGCTTATCCTTAATTACCCAGACTGTATGATGTCTGTTCCAGTCATTGAATTACCTTCTGAGTAAAGAAAAACTTCCTGGTGTCTGTTCCTGAAATTGCCCTTTTCCATTCTAAACTCATGTCCTCTTGTTCTCTTCAACCGTGCATTCACCTCCCCTCTCGACTCTCTACCCCCTCCTCGCTCACCCTAACCATTTCCCCCCCTGCTCGGGTCCCGACCTAACTGTCCAGCGCCCGATGTGAAAGGGGCTCTATAAATGCAATCCTGTTGTTCTACTGTCTTTTTGCATCCTAACGTATTGATTTGGATTTACTTTTGTGTGGGTCTTGCATGCATTCCTGTGTGTTTGTGGGCGTGGATGGATCCCCCTTGTCTGTGTCTGTGCATGTCCCTAGTGTCTGTCTGTGTGTGACGCATATTACAACTCTCAGAATACAATACATAACTAGAGACATCGAAAACATAAGATGATGGACAGAAAGTAATTTCTGTACATGTTGTGCTGTCTGTTCAAGACTGATGTTTTCCAGTGTGCCTCCACTCTCTGGGTACCTATTCACTCTTTGGGTCACTCTGTGTACATTGGGAGGGAGGGAGGGCTTATACTCTGTGGACAAGTGGTCCCTGGTCACTGAGGACAGTTGAATACATTGGTGACTGTCTCTGGGATTTCCCAGTCTATCTGGCTTAGTCCAATACTGGACTATTGATTCCCGCATCTACAGCTCCCTCGGGCAGAGTGTTCCACATCCTCACAAGCCTCTGTGTGGAAATGCTTCCTGACCTCAGCTCTAACTGTCTTGGCTCTGATTTGAAGGCTCTGCCCCTTGTAACAGATCCCTCTACCAGTGGGAAGGGTCATCCATTATCTAATCTGTCAATTCCTGTCATTATTTTAAACACCTCAATCATATCACCCCTTATCCTAGTCTGCTGTAAGACATATGGCCCAAGTTTCCCCAGACTCTCAGGTTAACTGAACCCCCTTTAGCCCAGGAACAATTCTAGTGAACGCTCATTTATTCTTTTGTCTAACAATTCTTAGGTTCTTATAATAATAATAATAATAATAATAATCCTTGCATTTGATATAGCGCTTTTCACGTCGGGAGGACGTCCCAAAGCGCTTCACAAAACACACTGTAAAGTGAATTGACTGTATATTTGTGGGCGAACGCGGCAGCCAATTGCGCACAGCAATGTCCCCACAAACAGTCGTAGATTGAAAATGACCAATTTATTATTGTTTTTGTCTTTTTGGAGGGATTATTATTAGGGCTGTGTGTGGAGTAAGGAAACTTGCCCAAGGTTTCGCACTGACCTGCCTGGAACTGAACTCGGGTCTTTCGCTTGCAAAGCGAGTGCTCTAACCACTGAGCTACAGGACTCCACTACATTATAGAGCGCCTTTCACGTCGGGAGGCACAGGAGGCAAGGGAGGGGGCGAGGCGAAGGGACTTATGTAGTTTGGGACATGATATGTGGATGCAACTACCAGGATGGTGCAAGGCAATCAGGATGGACCTTGGTCTTTCGTCTAGCAATTCTTATGAACCAATACTGGACACTCTCCAAGGCTATTGTATCTGTCCTAGGGTTGGGTGTCCAACATTGAACACAGAACTCCAAATAAGGTCTCTATATAACAGGAGCAGCACCTCTTTACTTTTATAATCCAGACCTCTTACAATAAGATCCAGCATCCCATTTGCCTTATTTGCTGCTTTCTGTACCAAGGAAGTAGATTTTAATGATCTGTGGCCCTGAATGCCAGATTTCTCTGCTCTCTGACCCTCCTGTTGATTCCCCAATCACTATTCTTTCTTCGAAAGTTTACTACCTCAACCCGACGTGAAAGGTGCGATAGAAATGTAATCTTGTTGTTGTTGTTGCCATGTTAAATTCCATCTACCATACCTGTGCCCACTCGCTTGCTGTCATAGCAACAGATCGGATTCATGCTGCTCTTATATATAACATAATCAGAGTGTTTATAAAATACGGATTCAGCATGATATCTGCACCTTCCAATGACACCCCCCGTTTGTGTTGAATTAGCTACTCTGCCCCCGTTCTCTGGAACTCCATCCCAGACTCCACGCACGCCACCGGCATGTGTAAATTTCTGCATTTGGAATGGCATCCGGTTTGCCTAATTCCATAGAGTATGAGGCACAGGATGGCAAGATCCAAGGTGGACCTGAGAATATGCATTTGTATCTATGTGGATAAATATTCGAAAGAATTTAATTTGTAGCAAGTTTGTATCATTTCTTTTCCCTTCCCCCCCCCACACACTTTAATTACGTAGTTGTTGCTACTGCTTCCATCACTACTACCAGATTGCTAATATTTTAATTTCTGAAAGTCTCTCCTCGAGCATAATGAACCCAGAAGTAAGTCAGCTGGAAGTGCATGAAATGTGCAGCACGTACCCAGGAGGGAGTGCCTCACAGCAGCTGTGGTGCCAGTCAAATGCTGGGGGCAGCGTCGCGTTCCTTACACAGCCGATTAGATTGAAGAAAATGAGAAGGAACCTGTGACGTAACTAACTAACTAACTAACCAACTAACAGTAACAGCCTGTGGTGGCTAACAATTTGCTGGAGGGCCAATCTTTCATTCAACGTTGAGCAGTCAGCCAGCCAAACTGTTGATTCACTCCACAAGAACCTTCATAAGATCATCAAAGGGCATGATAGAGTAGATAGTGGGAGCTTGTTTCCTCTGGTTGGAGGAACTAAAACCAGGGGTCACAACCTTAAAATCAGAGGCCAGCCCTTTCGCACTGAGTTGAGGAAGAACTTCTTCACTCAAAGGGAATGTATGGAACTCACTACCCAGAGGGCTGTTGACGCTCAGTCCTTGAACATATTCAAGACTGAGATAGACAGATTTCTTATTGCAAAAGGGATTAAGGGATATGGGGCTAAGGCAGGATCAGGTTATTAGCTGGAGTTAGATTAGAAGATCAGCCATGATTGAATGGCGGGGCAGGCTCGAAGGGCCGAATGGCCTACTCCTGCTCCTACATGTTATGTTATTGTGGAATCAGCTTAACCAATCACTAACTACGGACCTCAGGCTGGTTTTAAAAGGATGCAGGCTCTGCCCGGTTCAGGCCTGTTCTGTCTATTACTTATCCTGTACAACTCTGTGTCTATTAGTTTAAGCTGACACTCTAATGTAGTGATGGGGTGTGTTGCAATGTTGGAGGTGCCATCCTTTGGATGAGACATTAAACCGAGGTCCCGCTTACCTGTTCAGGTGGACGTTAAAGATCCCGCAGCACTATTCGAAAAGAGAGGAGAGTTTCCCCCAGTATCCTGACCAACAATTCCCCCAAATAAAATGGTTTTCTCACTTCATGGCTGTTGTGTGACACTGCTGTGCGCAACTGGCTACTGCGTTTTGCCCACAAAATATACGAGCAATCCACTTTCCAGTATATACTTTGAAGAGCTTTGAGATGTCTCAACAACATGAAAGGCGCTATTTCAAATGCAAGGATTATTATTAGCTATTCTCACGCGACTCTGTGTCTGTCAGTTTCTCCCCTAATGATGAGGTGCTGTAAAAATGCAGGCTGTACTTTCAGTGCTGTGGCTTGGGTAGAGTTTGAGCTTGGAGTGGAGTGAACACTGAAGTGATGGTTGCAGGATGGGGTGAGGAGGGGAATCAAGTACAAGTAAAGGGTTAGCCTCCGGACCCTGTGTCGTGGCAGAGTTTGCGTGTGAGGATGCTCAGTGAGGGAGTTCTGCTCCTTGTCGTACCTTCTTCAGTGTGACTGCCCATGCTTCAAACCCCACAACAGACAACTGACATGGCAGACTGTGCAGTCTCAGCGCCGTCCACACTCTTAGCGTCCCTCAGTTTGTTTTCCAGACGCTTCCCAACAATACATCAAAAAGAAGCTAAAATAAAAGGAAGTATAAACATTTATTAGACTTAATAAAACTTCCACATTATTTTCTCTCTGTCTGGTCACATGTCCCCAGTATTGTTTCTCCTATCTGGTCACATTTTTCTCCTGTGTGAGCATTTTTTTTGAGGAATCCTTGATCACATTAACTACTGGTTTGAGACCATTAAAGTGCTTCCCACTGCCGTTTCCTACTTTAGTTACATACATTTTAATAATTGTAATCCATAATAATAACTTAAAATGTTTTCCATGATTGTTTCAAAGGGATAGCGCTGCGCAGAAATATGTTAAGTTCAGCCTTAAAGTGGAGAGTCATACTGCTTGCTGCGTGTGGTTTGAATCTCGCTTATTGTTTTGTTTACCACATGCTTTATAGTTTAATTGCTGCTTTCCAAAAGTGTTACATTTCCTCTCTGATGGAACCAACCACAACCCTCAGTAAGCCCCACATCAGGACGTGGACACCACACAGTAAGCTGACATTCCACTGTAGTGCTGGGGTTGCGCTGCACTGTCAGAGCTGCCGTCCTTCAGATGAGATGTTAAACCAAGGAACCGAGGTCCTATCTACCTGTTCAGGTGCACATCAAAGATCCAATGGCACCATTTGAAAAGAGAAGAGTTTCTCTTTCCTGGTGTCCTGGCCAACAATCCCCCAAATAAAATTGATCACATGGCTGTTTGCGGGACATTGCGGTCCACAAAATGGCTCCCTTGACGTTTCTCAATGACTTGATAAAGCGGTATCAAATGCAGAGATTACTATTATTATTAAATGAGATTTCTCGGGCCAATTGCCTGCCATTCAAAAACCTGGCACAGATTTCAAAGGCAAAAGGCAGGCTTG